AATCATCAAGTCTAGCAGGCATCCGTCTGACGTATTTTGTATTTATTCACTTTGTTATCTATTATCCTAGTATTATTGATCATCATACAATATTTAATTGCAGATACAATTTTAACTATAATCTAAACATATATATCTACATATGTATATACGCAAGTATAAAATTCTTATAAAGTGGGCGCTTATTAGCCTTGTTGCATTACTGCTGTCACGAGAGGCCAGAAAGCATTTTCAGGCCGTATTTCGGCCGTAAGCGATACGCTAGAGGAACAAGGATAGCACGCGATTGTCGCTCCTTGTCTGACATTATCTCCCAACAATCGCATCCGTGTGCTCAACGTGTCGGTGTGTGCCTTCACGGACGCTACACACATACGCGATGAAAGAGAGACAAAGACAGCGCATCATCTCTCTTTGTCAAACGATCAGTGTACTACCAGCATCGAAAAGTGGATGTAGCACGGATATGAACCAAAATCGAAAAGTGGATGTAGCACGGACATGAATGTTTTATCGGTTTTATCGGCTCCGAAAGTGGATGTGGCCATGTAGTTCCAGGCAGCGTAAAATGGATATACGTGACGCTAGTGTACGACGCGTTACACGTATTGAATCACACATGAATATTTGCGCATGCGTATATTCCTATATCTAACACCCAGTAAAATTACTCTAGTAAAGGTTAGTTCCGTGCCTAACGTCATTCCCCTAGAATCCACCAGATCAGTCCTAGCTCTCGGCGTCTCTGGGGTATAGCCGGTGGAAGCAGGTTGCCCTATAAAAATAGAGAGCTATCCTTTTCTCACTAACTAAGGTATAGTAAGAAAAGAGCATTGTCGAGACGTAACACAGGTAATACTAGAAAGAGATGCTAAAATCCAAACGCACCTCTCTCCCGGCGAAATAGTGGCGACAACCAAAGAATGGGATAGCTTATTCCACGTAACAAAAGCATACTACGTTACGATTTTGTTTAGGTTTAGAATCAGTACTTAACGTAACGTAATGCATTACGGAAAAGCTTGTGCGGTGGCCCTTAATGTGTAGCAAATGGTGCGCATGCGCACTTTCGAGCAGTTACTCACAAGAGAGAGGCAACTACGATGGATTTTCTTTCTCACTTCCTCCGGACACATTTCAGCCTGCTATTCCTCTTCTATTTATATATGTTCTAAATTCTCTCCGATGATAGTTAATTTTAAGATTCCATTTGTCAATAAAAAATATCATTTTTGCGAGAATAGAAATGTAAAAAGATTTTTCGTCGAGTAAATTATAATACACATATAGAATAAAACTTACATCATATGTATTTTATTAATTTTTTTCTTATTATTCTTAAGAATAAATCATAAATACTGTTTTACTAATGCGATTTAAACTTAATCGTTGATTAAGTTGCAGGATATCAAAATTTTCAATGTAATATAATTATCATGTATATAACAGAAATTTTTGAATTTTGATATCCTACAAGTTTATGAACGATTAAATTTAAATATTGGTAGAAAAACAGGCAAAAGTAAGTAAATAGTAGGATACATCTAAATATAGCAACACTATTCTAATACGTTCCTTCCGAGATACATATATTGAAGATATCAAGAAATCTTAAACATATATATCAATATAGAAACCTGCCTTTTTATGTGAACTCATAGTTATTTATTGACAACAATATAAAAGTGATAAATTCACTTTTATTCATATTGATAATTCAATATATTTTACAATAATATTGAAACACTAGAGTCATGCTTGACTATCATTAGTAAAGTATTTGCATGTGTGTATATATATATTGACAAAGAGTCTAAAGCTCTATTATACGCAATTTTCATAATCACGACTTCCAGAAATTCGGATTCTGCTGTAACCGTCTCTCAAAAGTTTCGTACCAGTTTTGTAATGTGGATAAGGGTACAAAGTTCTCTGTGGGATTTGGCGTCATTTGTGCTTGCGTCACTGTGAAACTAGTCACATAATTCACAAAACTCGTCAGCATTTTCTGCACGAATTCTGCAAAATTGTTGGTAGTGGTGGCAGCAACGGTAGCTGCTTGCTGCTCGATTATCGCCAGCGGTTCCACCGATACGCCAATCTGCGCGACGTGCGAAATCTTACCGATCCCGAAAATTCCCACGTTGCTATTCTCGAACTCGTGATTTTTCTTCAGATTCGATATTTTGAAGATGGCTGATGGTTTGGCATTGGAAATATATCCAAGAAATTGCCAGTTGGGTGGCGCATTTGCATCCGGCCAACTGAAATACACTGTGAATAGTTTGTCATATTAATGATCAATTTCTAGTATAACTTTAAATACATGGAAAAATTTAATATCTTTATAAACTATATAAAAAATATTGCTTGTTGCACGTTATTTTACCTGCGCCTCCCATACCATCTGGAAAAGGTATAGTGCCAATGAGAAAGACTACTATATGATTTATATTGTCAGCATCTGGCACAGTAATTAAGAATTGATTCTCCCCAACTTGTTGGAAGTCAGTTTGAACCTGAAAAACAAGTCATATATTTTTACTATTATTAAATAAAACAAAATGCCTTATTGCATATTTAATATTAATATAAGTTTCAAAAATGAATAAATACAATAATAAATTTAATATGATTATAACAAAAATGAAAAGACGGGTAATAAAAAGAACCATATTTTTATAATATCAAATATTGCATACCTTTTCTCTATTCCTATATAAATGTCATTTAAAGTTAACTAAGATTTGTCTTTTAGTGAATGCACTAAGCGCACAATTTTCTGTATCGGTTTCAATATCAACCAAATATTTAAAAAACTGAGTGAGAATACTTAGCGTGTGCACAATGGTACATATAATCGAATTTGCAATTAATTTCTATTTACATAAGATCAATCGATAGAGAATGAATGAAAAATCAGTTAACTTTAATTCATTTATTTATTAATTTTAATACATGTATACAAGCACTTTTATGCAATTGTATATACCTTATCATTTTTTATTTATAATTTCGTGTTTATAAAATTTACTCATGACAGAAATTTTTTTGAAATTCGATAAAAAATAAGTGTTTCATAAATCGCTATACGATTACGACAAGTAAAATGTGATAATAAAATTAAATATGATAAAGTAGGGTTTTATTCTAAGAATAATAAAACTACACTTCTTTTTTCGCATCACATACAATCTGAATAACTATGACACACTAGCGATTAATAAATGCGATTAATAAGATATGACACATCAAAAGAGTTACACTTACAAGTCGCCCAGCCACGATTATACCGAGCATTTTTGCGATGCATCTAGATTGTTCTATCGTGTTCCACCAAACTTCCAAACGTCCCACATGAACAATCTAGAAAATTACTCCAGACACATTACCGAATGTTTATACCATGAAGATTAAAGATTGGAATTTGACTAATCAGAACAAAAAGGACTAAAATTTCTTTATTTTGATTGGTCAAATTTCAATCTTCAATCTCAATCTTCAATGCGTAGTCTGATACGGGCATTAGACACCGCTACAGTAGCGCTACTGTAGCGCTATCGTAGTTCTAAGGCTGGCCAATCACAGTCATTCCATTCTTCAGAGAAATAGCTGTGATTGGCCAGTTTCACAACTACGGATGTTATTAAACCCGATTAAGGGCCAATTCTTAGAACATATATAAATGGAAGGGGAATAGCAAAACCAAGCATTCTTATCATTTCAGTTGGAACCCTGCTAATTTTAACCGTCGGTTAATCTAACCGAGTAGTGGTGAAATTGGCCCTAAGGGTGCTGTGTAACAGAGCTCTATGATACCAACTCTGTTGAATCGTTTCTGCCATGGATGTAAAAAATATCTGGACGAAGCGTACTGCCCACAGATTTCTATATATTACTAGACTGCTAACTCATATGGGTGCAAATGGCCGCGTTCAGCAGAAAAAACCGCTTAGTAGCAATCGAATGTGATTGGTTCTTACTTTTAGAACTAACGAATCAACGTCGAGTGTTGACAAGACGATAACTGAGCGCTTTCTCTGCTGAACGCGGCCAATGCAAACCCATGCAGCGGAATAGCATAAGGCCGGATTCACACCTTGGCAGAAAAACAGAAAGCAGAAAAGCGGAGGCCAATCAGAACTTGCGCTAAAAAAGCAAGATGTACTGTTAATTTTCAGCGCGAGTTCTGATTGGTTTCTGCTTTTCTAGCACGAGTTCTGATTAGCTTCTGCTTTTCTGCTTTCTGCTTTTCGGCCAAGGTGTGAATCCGGCCTAACGCGGAACGAGAGCGGAACCAATCGCGAGCGTAACGAAAATTGCAGAACGCTTGTGATTGGTTTTGCTCTTGTTTTGCGTTAAGCCCGTATCTGGGTACCGATCATGTAACTTTTTCTCTAAGGCGAGAACGTGAAAAGTGAAAAATATTAGCATTGAAATCAATGGCAAAATTTTTCACTTTTCCGCCCTAGGGGAAAAGTTACATGATCGATACCCAGACTACGCATTGAAGATTAAAGATTGGAATTTGACTAATCAGAACAAAAGGGACTAAAATTTCTTTATTCTGATTGGTCAAATTTCAATCTTTAATCTTCAATCTTAGGGTGCCATTAGGGTGCACACCCATGGCAGCGGAAAGTGCGGAGTTCACTTGTTAGGCACGTGCAGGTTGCAGGTTTTTTATATTAAGTAAATGTTGACGGCAGAAGCCAATAACAACACTGTAATTTTCTCATTTTTTTCACTTTTCATATGAAATCGTAAACTTCGCACTCCGTTATTATGTATACTTTAATTATGAAAAAGGATTTGTTGATATCTATAATCAACAAAAAGATTTTGCATTTTAACTAATATTCGCATTCTGTCGGTAAAAAAGCATAGTCCGACATCCTCTTACCCATACAGCACCGCAAGATTGTAACAACATTGCAGCAACATTTTTCTGCAAGATTGCAACATTGCAGAAACATTGCAAAATATTGCTGCAATGTTGTTATGATATTGCAGCAACAATAAAATGTCCGCCTACAGAAATATTGCAATATAATATTGCAGCAACATAGCAATATAATATATATGCAATAACACTTTATGTATATTTATCGACAATAATATCCTTACATATGAAAAAAATAATAAGAAGTTAGGCCTATAAGAGTCAGGATCTAGTGTGTCTATAAATTTTCTGTATTATAATAACAAAATTATAAAATGTAAATTTTTCGGTGCACATTCGACTTCCTTCAGTGACAGAGAATATCTAAGAGAAATAAGAAAAACCTGAATTTGCAATTGTGTAAATTTACAATCTCTTTGTATCCGAAATATTCAGATATCCGGATGCAAAATGATCGTGGTGGATTTACGCATACAACCAGTTTTTTCACATCTCTCTTATCTTTATATAATCACAAAATTTATTTATTAAAATCTGAAGTATCTTGCATATTAGAAAATTATTATCAAATTTTTTATTTTATATAAGAATGGAAACTATTAAAAGAATTTCCAATGTCTGAGTCCCCTGTGTTGGGGTCATATCATACAACTTAAACTAATAAAAATATTTATTATATCTTTAATCTTACTAGCCGCTCTTTGTAAACTTTATATAATCATCGTGACTAAAAATTAAATGCGGAATAGATAGCGCAACATGCGCCGCATAGCGGTAAACGAATGAACTAGCGATTATCGAATACTTTTTTTGTAATATTTTCGGAATGTTGCTGTAACATTGCTAAAGTTATATTGTAAAATAATGTCTTTGCAATATTTCTGCAACATTACACTGCAATATGCAATATTGCAATGTTGCAGCAATGTTGCAAGCTTCAGTGCTGTATGGGTAATAGGATATCATTTTACAGGTAATAGTTTTAATAGTAAAACAGCAAAAGAAATAATATTTCAGATGATACATAAAGCAGAAGCAGTGGGCTTCCACGTGAATTTTATAACATCGGACATGGGTCCAGGAAACACTGGATTGTGGAAACTGTTAGGTATAAGCATAGGAAGATATAGTAAAATAGTCAATTCTATCATACATCCTTGCGATATAAATAGATATTTGTATATCATTGCCGATCCACTCCATCTCCTCAAAAATCTGAAACAAGCTTTAATTAGTAATAAAGTGATAACCATTTCCGAAAATACCGTCCATAAATATAAATTACCGACAAATACAATATATTTAAGACACTTCGATGAACTGCTAACTATTCAAGAAAATTCGGAACTATTATTAACGCCTAGATTTAAAGTCGCTGATATAAAATGTACGAACAATTTCAGCAAAATGAGAGTAAACAAAGCTAGAAATGTTTTTTCGAATGATGTTAGCAGTTCATTGCAATTATTAGCGCATGAACGCAATAATGCCGAATTTTATACTACTACGTGGTTTGTAAAACTTGTATATAAATGATTTAGTCTAATAACATCAAGAACCTGTAAACTAGCGCTTGGTAGAAAAGTAGAAAACATATATATTGAGAATATCGTATTTTTACAAGAAGTTAATGATATTTTTACACAGTTACAAATAGGAAATGGTGAATTTAAACCCGTATAGAGAGGCATTATTATAACTACTACATCTATAATTCAATTAACTGAGTATCTTCTTAAACACAGAAACGTACAATATGTTTTAACTTCTCGATTTACACAAGATTGCATAGAAAATCTTTTTTCACAAATCAGACTAAAACATGTGATACCGCATCCATTACAATTTATGCAAGACTTAAAACTTATTTCCATAGCCATGTATATGAAAAATATTAATAGTAGTAGTTATAATAATGATGAGAGAAATTATTTAGCAGGATTTCTCGAATACTTAAATAATAAAAAACAAAAAGACAAATGTATTGGGGAATATAATAATAGTAATATATTAAATGTCGGTGTAAACTGGCAGTAACGAGCCAAGCGCGGTATAAAGAGCGCAAACACTGTTTATTAATTAAAATAAATAGAATACACTAATCGCGGACGTTTCGGCCCTTTTTTGGGGCCATCTTCAGCGCGGAAAACAAAATAATAAGGTCTTAAATAACTAAAC